ATATATATATATATATATATATATATATATATATATATATATATATATATATATATATATATATATATATATATATATATATATATATATATATATATATATATATATATATGTTATTTGTATAATTAGATTTATATTCCAAATATATTTGTCAAATTCACGAATCGAATACCCTTGATTCATATTCGTATTCGATAAGAATTCAAATATTTAATCAGATTTGTATTTGTATTCGAATTTGAAAAAATCGAATACGAATCGCCTCAAACGAATACGAATCACGAATCGAACAAAAAATATTCGATTCATTTAAAACCCTACAGTCTCATCTCTCTCACCCCTCTCTCATGTCTCATCTCTCTCACCCCTCTCTCATATCTTATATACTACGCAATAGTATTTTAATCTGTGTCATGCATAAGTGGAACAAAATTTTGTTATATTCTATAATACTTGAAAGATACTGTTCTTTTAGATTCTGACTTTTAGAGTTTAGAGTTTTTATGTATATTTAATTTCCTACATTTGGTTACATAAGTGGCAAGAAAATATTTTTTAGAAAAAATGATTCTATTTTCTATCGATGAATGTTCATTTTCTTTTAAACTGCTCGAGCCATCTAATTTACGAAGAAAGCAAAAAACTACTCTCACCCCATCTCCCTCCCCCAAACCATATAGAATGGAGCTCTATAACAGAGATTTCAAATTAATCGTGCGTGAAAATAATACAATGATATCATCTTTAATTTTGTAAAAATTTTTATCTTCTTTTTGAAGATATTTTTTTATTATTTAATTTTACACGAGTTATCATATAAAATGAATTAAAACTAATTTCATTCAAACTTGTAACAAAAGAAAACTTGTGGATAAAGAGTGTATTTATTAAAAAAATTAATACACTAATAAACATTTCAGTAAAATTAATTAAAATTTGATACTTTAAATTCTTAAAAATATTTTTTACACTTCACTAATCAAATTTATAATTTTGAAAGAAAACTTTATTTAAAATTTTAAAGGAAAAGTTTGAATTTTTTTATAGGAATTTTAGACAACTTTTTATACAATGAAATCTTACTCTTTATAATCTAAACTCTCATATTTATTACACTTATTTAAGTGTAAAATATAAAAATTTTTAATGTCAATAACTTTATTTGGCATTCACATAAGCATTCACGCAATATATATATATATATATATATATATATATATATATATATATATATATATATATATATATATCCGAGATATACTTGATATTATATATTTTGGCATGAGTAATAATATGTTAATTTAATATAATAACTTTAAAATAAATATACATTAACCCAATTGATACTATGTATAATTTTAACAAAAAAATATTAAATAGCTAACAATTATTTCAAATGTTTATAAAGTAAAACATACTTTTTATTACATATATCATATAAATATATCTACTAACACATATCATAGAAAGTTAGTTGTTAAATAATATAATCATATTGACTCAAATTTAATTATACGAATTAATATTTAAAAAGCTCTAAATATGAAAATACAAATATTAATTTAAATAGATTTTTTGTGTTATTCCACCACCTTCGTGTATGAAACACTATACATGTATGACAACTAAAAAAGAAAAAATTATTTTATTCCATCATTTTCTAAAAAAATGAACTCTAAGAAAGTAGCAGATAAAAAAGTGAACATAGATTTTTTATATTAACATTTTTATATTTGTTAAGAGTTCAATTAATATATAAACATAATGTGAATTAAAATGTATTAATTGTATTTATTTCAATTTTTTAATAATAATATGATAGGCATTATAGTTTGTTTTTTTAAAATTTGGATATGATATATATCTTGTAGTAGTTAGACTATTAGATACAATATTTTAAAAATAACAATGATTTCACTGCTCTAAAATTTATATAATTATTATTTTTGAAATGCAATCAAAAGAAAAAGTGTTGAATAAGTTGAAAGCTTAAATATTTTTAGAACTTTAAACTCATTAAATGAATATTCATATAATACTAAGAAAATAAAAAAGTTTATGCAAAAGAATTAGCCATTGAACATAATAATAGGTATTTTAACTTTGCTATGTGCATATACATATATATGTTTTAACTACTAAGAGCCTGTTCTTTAGGAATGGAAAAAAGAGGTCGATGTTGGAACACACTTTATTTATGCAGTATTTATCACAAAATAATATATTTGTAATTATACTTTATATATTACAAAAATTTGTTTTAAATATCAGACATGTCACATATGTAAATCATAAAAATAGTGAGATGAAAAAATGAAATAATTTATAAACTATAATTATGAACATAATAAGTGTAATAATAATAATAATAATAATGATAACTATAATAATAATAATAATATATCATTTTTAGTATAATTGGTCGGGAGGTAGAAAGAGTTTGAAGAAAATAAAAATAGTTGGAAGAAACTAGAAGAAACTGGAAAAAACTAGAAGAAACAGCAAGGAGTTGGAAAAATTTGGAAGGAACTGGAAGAACTATAAGAAACTAGAAGAAAAAACTGGAAAAAACGGGAAAGAACTAAAGAACAAGATCTAAATATGATAGTTTTAATAATAGATACAATAAATAAAAATATAACAAATGGAATACAATTTTAACTCATGTTTAT